ACAAAACAACATTCTTAATTCTAATATAAAACTATGTTGCTTAAATTAAATAAATTCAAGTCAAACAAATAGAATTGCTAAATCTAAAGAAACCTTTTTCTCAGTATACATTTTCTATCATTCTTTCTAAGATTTAAGTATGTTATAGACGTAGAATGAAAACAAATTAAATAGAGTCTACATTGACATAATCTCAAATTATATTTATTTTTGTTAAGTTCAGTTAATTTAGTTTTGTTTTTAAACTATATCTATTTTATCTTCAAGATATTTATTTCTGTAATAATTTTAATTAAATATAAGAATAAAATCTTGCAAATAGACCCCAGATGAATATTTATTTATGAACTTTTTTATATACGAAAAAAAATTCAAATACTGGGAATAGTCAGAATGTTTATACCTGAAAGCAAGATACAAAAAAGTAATTTTATGTTATCAAGCTATAATATTTATAGAGATCGTATTAAGAGTAAATTGTACACGTGTATAATTGATATGCATAGCTATAGGCAAGCATTTTACATAATAACTTGATAATTAGCGGAGTCCATGACGAGATGTTAAATACTTAAGAGGGAATTGAGGAGGGACTCATTTACAAATGAAGATATTCTATTGGTACTTGGACGCAAATGTGCTCTAGGATATAATCATAAAGTCTTGTAGTAGAACTGCGTTATCGTTATGTCTTACATTATGTCATCTAATAATGTCTAATTAGTCATAAATTTTATTCATTATTATTCTATATTTTAAATAATATTCAAAATATTTTAATTTTGTCTTAAATAATATGCAAAATTTAATATTATCTTAAACTAACATGATTTCTATTATATTTAGCAATGAGAAATGATATGCGATGAGAAAGGCGAATTATTCTTTTTGTACTTTTACGATCGATGCATCGTTATGATTAAAAAAATGATGATTATCGCAGATTATTATGATCGTAAATTCAGAAGTACGTTCGGCGAACGTGAGATTTAGTGTCAAGGAACGGACACTGCGGAAAAGAACCGCATTTTCTTAGCGGGATTGCTAACCCGGCGGTTAGCAAATAGTACGTTTCGCACGTAATTAGCGTATATATCTTCACGGACACTTTTGACGATTGGTCGTCAAAACTGTAACAAAGTGCCGTGCGAAGACAGCTATTAGCCGCGAGGTGTATCTGTTTCAAAACATTCCGGATGCGGTCGTAAAATCCCGCGGTATCTCGTGTTGCTGAGTATCGAGCGCAGCATCGAAAATGACGATGTGAATGTGTATCGAGTCTTAAAGTGGATTAGCGCAAACCAAGGCAAGAGTTGCACTTTGTCTGCCACGTCGACTGTCGGATTTATTCGGATTTTTTTTAATTCACGAGTCGTTATTATTCACGAGAATCAATTTGGATATAAACCGATGTTTAAATAAATCGCGCGTACTTAATACACGGGTAGGATTTTATGAATGGCATATTTACGAATTTAGTTTCGACGATGAATGTATCTATCGTTCGATATATTGATATTTTGCTTCAAATAATGTCATATCCAAAATATTATCTTAGGCTAATATAATTTTCTTATATTATATTTAATATTGAATATGCGATGAGAAAGGCGAACTATTTCTTTTTCTATTCTTTTACGACTGATGCATCGCTGCGAACGATAATTATTACAGATTATTATGAACAAAATGTTATACTTATAACGCAATCGTCAGAATCTGACTTCGTAAACGGTATATACTTTTCACCCGACAGTTCCTAATACCAGGTGTATTAGGCGACGGTGCTACCAAACATCGGTATTGCCCGAGCACCTGAAACATATTTCCTCTTGTCTTTTCCCTCGCGTGTCTTTCTCTCTTCCTTTTCGTCCGCTCGCGAACGAAGACATCCATTGCCTACACGCTATCTGCCTCGAAACGGTCTGGGTGTGGCCATAAAATCTCGCGGTTCTGGAACGAAGTGCTCCGCGTGCGCGCGAACGCGAGAGCACCCGCGGGATGGACGGGTGTATTGGGCGTTAAACGAGAGTAATACGTTCGCCGATCCGTAGAGAAGTACTCGAGCTGCCAACGCATTGGAAACCGGTTCCGAACGAGTGCTTGGTGCTTGGTAGCGCCCGTGCTCCATCTGGCAAATGCGAAATAGTATGTGCGAAAAGAACCGCGGACACGTCGTAGGCGCGTATCCGTTGCTCCCAATCGCGCGACTTCTTTCCTTCCTTTCTTTTTTTTCTTCTTTATTTCAACAATTTCCGCGATTCCGCGGATTCCGCTCGAGGCGAGCAGCCGGCGAACAGTTCGCTCTCTGTATCTGACATTCACGCGTCGCTGAGAGTGAACACGAAGTGTTCACCACATTACGCTCGTACGAAATAACATAGGCCAAGGCGAGTCTGTTGTATAATCGCAGCTCCGTTCCCCGTTTTTGACAGCTTAATTAGAGACCGAAAAGCGGCGGCGACGATCGCTGATAACAAGCCATAAGCATCGGCACTAAAATGTGCGTTCCGCTTTTCGGAACGTTTTGACGAGAAAGAGTTTCGTTTCTCGATCGTATTATCACGATAAGCGTTGACGTAGATATTTGAAAATTGACGTTCAATAATCCTACGAATTAGTTTTCTTAATATATATATATATGTTTTTAATTATATAATGTTTGATCGTGATAATTCCGAATATCTAAAAAAACAAGCATTGTCTTCTATATGATACTGTAATATTCTTTATTCTTTCATAAATGTCTAAGATACGACAGATGTGAGTAACAGAAAACTAATTAATTCCGTTGTATCATGATAAACGATCGATTTATCTTTTTACTGTATTTATGATCAATAAGTTGAATGTTACATTTCGAATATCGATCAAGATTTCATAATAATTCTGAGATTTTTCGTGTTTCCGAAGGCGTGAAATGGTCCCATTAATGTTAGTTACGAGCCCTGTACAGGTGCTCGACTGTACAGGTGTTCAATGTTAATTGCTTTTGCCATCCCGCATCGAGAGGTCCGCGCGGCGAAAGATCGTGAAGCGATTCATAATTCAATTAGAGTTACTTGGTTATCTCTCATCGAGATAGATATAATCGATATGTACAACGACTTATTTGTCGTATGTTTAACTTCTACAGTATCGAGAATATACAATCATTAAATGTACATGTTTTTATGTTACTCGTATAACGTAACAATATAATCGAAATATATAACAATAGGGTATAATTAATACAATTAATATCGCAATATGTACAATAAAATAAAATTGATAAGAAGAAATTTATTTCGGCACTTAATTACAACATTTTTCGAAATAATTAAAATTTACATTAAAAAAAAGATATGCTTCGCATTGAGAAAAATTGACAAAATTCATATTCTAAGAAAAATTACTTAATTGTTATAAATGTCACAGAATTACCGCGTATTTTTTACGTATTTCTGTGTTATCTCATTTCATTGATTAGTGTCTCTATCTACCTTCGATAGTCCCGAAAGTGTATTCAGGTGTTTCGGTTCAGTTTGGTTCAGTTTACAGTCTCTTTGTTAAATACCAGTCTTAACTTTCAATAACGCCGTATTGCAATTTAGCTATAATAAAGCGCATGGAACACAATTGTAAATAATGATGACGTGACGTATTCCGTAATTATCGATTTATCGTGATACAATGAAATTAATTGGCTCTTCGTTGCTTACACATCTTATCTTAGATATTCAAGAGAGACTGGGGGGAATGCTATAATGATCGATACAGAAACGTTTCTACAGAATGCAGAACGCACTTTGTATTAGCGAATGTTAGAATTTATCATAACGCATAGCTGGTATTTTATTGCATCAGATTTAAGTGATTGAAAAATCGGACGAGTCAATGAAAATGTTTGTCTTCATGATTCACAATGAACGTTCGTAAAGAAATTATTAATGAGTTTAATGCACTCCAGATTATCGTGAATATTTGTAAACGGTTGTTGCAATAATATTTGCGCGCATGTCACACCGTGCCCGTTCTAAATGATGATTTATTCGATAACTATCGTATCAATCAAAGGCTACCGCCCGGAAAGAATTCGACAAAAAAAAGGGGGCAGGTTCCGAAGGATTAGATGAGATTGAATTCGATGAGACTAAACGGATCCGATTCGACTCTTCGAGTCTGCGAATACCTATGTATCTCTACTCACCATCGATCAGGGAGGCCGGTACGTTCATCTGCTGGTGATGATGCGCCGTGGGATGCTGCTGGTGATGGTGCGGCGGATGTACCTGCAGCAGGTGCGATCTCGTCTGGGAGAAGGTCGGCGAGGGTGGTTCCCAAGGTCGGGCGACGCCGGTACTGGCGGGAACGTCCTCGTCCTGACAGCAGAACTTGTCGCTCGCGCTCGAGGCGGTCGTGCCGGTGCAATTCGCGACTCCGTGCCCGTCATTATTGTTGCCAATCTCCCCGTTATTGTTATTGTTATTGTTGTTGTTGTTGTTGTTGTTGCTACCGGTATTGCTATTGTTTGTGAGGCGCGTGGTGGTCGCGCCCGTTGCAGGGCTACCACTACCACTAGCACTGCCACTGACACTACCACTGCCAATGCCGTCGACCTGCACCATTTCGCTGTCGATCGCAGCCGCCGACTTGGCAGTACCAGGAGGGGTCGCGACGCCGCCACCGATCATCATCACCAGACGATCTCACTTCCGCCCCCTCCACGCTCAGCAGCAACGGCTCCTCCCTCTCCCGCTCTTTCTCCACTTCTGTCGAGTACACCACCACGTCTATCTTCGAATCGCTTCCGTTTCGCATTCACAATGGATTTTTCCCTCCGCTCTGCGATCAATCGCGATTCTCAGAATAGTACCGACAACTGTTTCCAAGTTAACATATCATTTGGCAGTATTCTCATCCGTATGCGGCTAAGAGTGTGTTCTCCTTATGCGATGTCGAGCGACATCGTCGTACAAATATTTTTCGACCGGCGTGCAGGAGATATAGCGTAAAAATTACCGATAGGATTGCTTGCCAATTTCGCCATTGTCAAACTCAAATATTCCTCTCCTCTTGTAGTTGTGGTTTTATTTACATGTACACCAACGCAGTCCGGTACAAGTTTAATACATTTTTGTTTTATCCGAGCATTCGCAGTTCCCATTTGTTCGTCGAAAAACTTGAGCTCGTCTTCATTGAACTGTCCACAAAAACTGTCACGTGTATACCATCAAAGTCCACCACATCGGCCACTATCTTTTGACACAGACACGTTCAACGGACTCGCCACGTGACGCAAAGTGACAAACGAGTCGTTGTGTATCCCACGGAACCGACTAGCGGAGCGGAATGACTTCTCGTATGATAGCGCGATGATGATCACGACGCATCGCGACGCGAGCTTTTACGTCGTCGCGATACCTGAGCCTAATCGAAGCCGAAGAACTGAAGGCGCGGAGTGTTGGAGCGCAGGCGCCTTCAACGAAGCTCGTGACCACGTCCTCCTCTCCTTCTCCTCCTCCTCCTCCTTCTCCTCCTCCTTCTTTCTTCTCCTCCACTTGGCCCTCTTCCCTCTCCGTACTCTTCCTCGCGTGTCGATCGCCGTCTCTCGCTTCTTCCGCCTACGAGGGCTCCCTTCTCCAATGACAGGCAACGAGGACTACCACGGCATCGGGGTAACTTGCTCGCGCTCCGCCGGATTCGAGCGGATTGCCTTCCGCTCGGGGTTTCGAAGCGCGCCCAGACTAGCCTTACCCCCTCCCGGTAACCCGGGACGCTCGCCGAGGTGAGATCAAAATTTAATGTGACGTGACTCGCCTCGTCGCTCCATATACGCGACCGATTCCCCCCCCCCCCCCTCTCGTACACCCCTCGTTCTCCGTTCACCACCGAGATCTTTTTACATTCGATGCACAGATCACCATAGGTTCGTTTTTCTCGTTGATTCTCCTGGATACAAAAGGAAGACAAACTTCTCCTCCGAGATCGCGCGAGAGCGATTATTTTTCTCTTATTTCTCTCCCTTTCGTCCCCTCCGCTCTGCCGTTTCTTCACGACACTCACCGCTTCTCCTGTCACGCGATCGACTCGCCGAAGCTATTCTCCTTGTGCTCTGGAGAATAAAAGATCGTAAACGTCGCGACGTTTTCTTAATTCGTCCCTTCGGAAGAGTCTCGTTACCGTGGCTGTAATGCGGAGTACGCGACGCGTACTCCTCGCTTTCCCTCTTCACGACGGCACGACGGTGCTCCTCTTCGGGAGCCACCCTTCTCTCGCACCACGAACGACCGAGTGCGCGAGTGCGTTACGCGGGGCAACCTGCTCGCTCTCCGCCGTATTCGAGCAGATTGCCTACCGCCGCGCGCTCCGTTCGAAGCGCGCCCAGACTAGCCTTACCCCCACCTTACTCCTCCCGCAAAAGGCTCCGTTCTTCTGCGGTCTACCTGCCTGAAGAAGATGAGATCAAGATTTTAAGACGCTGCGCCGCGCCGCGTGTGGTGCGGCGGTGACGGGATCGCGGACGAGGGAGGCGAACACAAGGGAAAGCGGCTGCGGTCGAAGACGCAGAAGCTGCTGATTACACCGGATCGGATCATAAAGGGTGGACGCGCGGGGTGAAAGACGCTCGACGCGGGGCACGAGGGATCGAGACTTAGTCGATGCTATGTATAAACCAGGTGGGGAACGAACACCGTGGGGATGCGTGGTGTGTGAGAGAGAGAGAGAGAGAGAGAGAGAGAGAAGAGAGAGAGAGAGAGAGAGAGAGAGAGAGAGAGAGAGAGAGAGAGAGAGAGAGAGAGAGAGAGAGAGAGAGAGAGAGAGAGAGAGAGAGAGAGAGAGAGAGAGA